AATGTTTATATATTATTTAGTACTTATATTATACACTTGCAAAAAAAAAAAAAAAAAATGGAATATTTCAAATATGAAGTGAAATTATTTGAATTTAATGTTACCACTGTCACAAAAAAAAAAAAAAAAAAAAAAAAACACACAGACTGCACCAATGGTAAATAGACGTTTCAAATGACAGAAGTGGTGCATATGTCCTCAGTAAAGCAGAAAAGATTTTTAAATCTCATACAACTTTTTAAAATCTTTATTCTGTATCTCGTTACGAGTCTGTTACTCAGGGTTTTAAACCAATTGTATGTTTCTATATGCAGTCTTTGCTGAATAAAATATACTATACAGAAGTTCACCGTATTCTCTCATTCTTCCTGTTTTTGGTCCCCATCACCCACTATTTGATTCTTTCAGACATCTGCTCTTTTGTTTAAAAGACATTTAAATGTTCCACGTCATGAAAATTAAAAAATTTTGGGATCCAATTTCAAATTTGCCCACATTTGTCATAAAATCCAAAGAGAGGACTATCCCATACTTAACTTTCAGTTTACTATGATAGAATTTTAAAATTAAGAGGAAGCAACAAATGAGACAAGTTTCATTCAGACGCCAATCTGTTTTATTTATATAAATACTGATGATCACATTATTAATGCTGACTAAGTTTGATCTTTTGGTAATATTCACAATCATGCACTGCCATGAGAACCGAAAGCAATACATTGCACAGAGCCTGAAGGTTGAAGTTTCAGTATTTCTCAAAAATCAGAATGATGCCCAATAAACCATATAATAGCCATACCTTACAATTATAATATCCCAAAACTTGGAGGCCATAAAACAAACTGAAAAAGTGACACTTTCTATAATGGGATTAAGACTGCTTTGTTCACATGCCCGTTTTTTCTAAACATTCCTTTTTCCATGCCCTACACTTCCACTTTCTCGTATACAAATGTGAACCATTTTTTTTTCTGCTCTGAATTCCTTCTTGCAACAGCCTGGTTGAGGCTCATCTCTGTGTGCCATCTTAGGAGAGACATAATGAGACCATGATAAGTGCAATATCAAGTGTTTGAAATAAATCAATACTATGGGATAAAACTGGTGATCTTGTACTTGTTGCATGTCTTAATTGTCAAGAACAGACTCATCCATCACAGTAAGAGATCTATAACATCTCTAAATGTTTATACGATGGTGACATGCAAGCTAATGAAAAAAAAAAAAAAAAAAACTGCCCTGGTTCCTGGGTACTTGTACCAAAACTCACAACTATAGATCAACTTCATTTGTATAAATACAAAAATTATCATGGACTTTACCTGGTGGATTTAAAAAAAAAACAACAAAGGTGTGAAAAGACTGGCACAAACAGAGTTACTCTTTTGAGGCTCCAAATTAGTTCTGTGGCACTCTTGCAGAATGGGCAAATATAAACTTTTAATTCGTGAGGATGTTTAGAAATGTCTAAATTTCCTCACTATTCTTTCTGGTGGTCCCGCATACTTATAACCAAAATGCCGTCCCACTCAGCGGAGTGCCACATACACTAAGAGAGAGCTTATTAATCTAAGGTGGTTGATGCATGTCTTGATATAAAAATAAATTAATAAAATCTAGTGCCAGTGTGTTCAAAATGGGCATTCAAACGTAATATGTAATTAAATATGGTTTTCTCAAGTTGTTCCAATAAAGGAAATATCTGGCACATGGGACATTCTTGCCCATATCTGGTTTTTGCTTCGGCAAGGCTATGCATCAGTTACATGACACTTTTCTCCACAAGCATACCAAATAAATTATGATAAGCAAAATGTACAAAATAATAGGTCTTCATCTTAAATCTGAATGAAGAACTTAAAAGAAAACTTGGTCACAAACTAGTGGTATCCTTCATGTCTGACGAATTAAGTAAAATTATCTTGGTGTAAGATCAAAAAATCAATCCTACAACTCAATGGGATAGGGGACTATGAAATGTGATCATTTAAGAATAATTTATTTACAAAGAATAGATATTTAATATGTCACTAATAATTTAAAACGACAAATTACACGTATACGAATACTTGGACATTGTCTCTAAAATACTATTTTTTTTTCAATATCGACAACCAACAACACAAAATACTATACAAATGTACTAAAATTGAATTGTATTAATAATGATAATTGTAATAATCATAATAATTCTATCTTACAAAATGCCATAGGTGGCAAGATAAAGAAAGTGCACTATAGCTTGTCTCTGATTGGCACATGCAGTGCCTCTCAGGGTCCGTTTTCCACTGAAGGGGGAAGGACTGTACAATGTACACATATATAGAGTTCGCAGCATTAGCCAAAAACATATATTGGCCTAAGATATGCTATGTTCAAACACTGCCTTTCTACATGACCATAGTTTCAGTTGTTCATTTTTGTTTTTTATTTTGATGTATGAGAGAGAGAGAGAGAGAGAGAGAGAGAGAGAGAGAGAGAGAGAGTAGGAGTTATTTTGTTCATAAATAGTGCCGTAGAAGGGCAAATTCTATACAATTGCATACCCCTCTTTCTTTTAGATATTAAAAAATTGTAGTTAGAAAGATAGTTTCTGTAAATTCATACTAAGAGATGAAGAACAATTTCATCCCTTTCAGCACCAAATTATACAAAATAGTTTCTCACTGTCCTGAACAATAACAATTAACAGAATTTGCCGAAAATGATGCTTTCACTGCATATGCCCTTTTTGAAAGCATTCTTCAAACTGATTTATATAGTCAATATTTCTAAAAGCAATATTCTAAAACAAAGAAAGATGATCTGCATATAAAGGAAAAAACAATTCAGACACAAGATTCTTAAAACCATTGCATATAGACAAGTTTGCAAATTGAACCTTAGAGGAGCGTGTGTCCTCTAGACAGCACATAAAATGTAAATAATAACATGCACTTTAAAATCAAAACAGTTCCAAGTATTTGGGAATTACTGGGAATTAAGTCCCAGTTCTCTTAAATACTAAACAGGGAAGACCCTTAAATAGCACTAACTGCCAGCATGTGAGCAGAGGCTCTTCTAGGCTAGGCCTAAAACATAAATCTATACATAAACAATATAATACATTTTGTCAGCTTTAAACACTGACCATGAACAATAAATAGAACTCGTTTTTTTTCATAATATGTCACAATTCTCTCTGAAGTCCTCTCTCTCTCACAACTCAGAATATTGCAATAGAAGAATATTCAAATTGCCTTTTATGATACAATAGAGACCTCCTTCAACATCTGCTTGGCTCAACTTATCAGCCCCTCCAAATATGAAGTGACCAATCCCCTCTTTATTGGTCACTACTTTTTCAGCCACTCTGTCCTTAGAGATGACCATAAATAAAATGGAATACAACTCGATGACCATACTCTTCGATTTGCCACTATTTCATGGACATCTTCGTCACCAGAGGTGGACCAATGTCTGATGCCATGGCAGTGGCTTCCATGACCATCCCATAATGTTCTGCCACTAGATGGCGTACTAGACAAACCATGCCCCAATATGCCTGTGTCGCTCCCGATTTGAAAAAAAAAATTATATGAAGGAGTCCAAACCACAGGCATATTTCTTTGTCTCCGAGTCTGCTGCCTTGGGATCACTGAGATAGAAATAGTAGAAGTAGTAGTAGCAATTCCAGTCTGCCAGTCTATTCACTCAGCTTTGTGAGTGGGCTTCTGTGAAAACTAGCTGTCAAACAGAGACAGGAGATCATCTGTGTTGGTGTTTCCACTGGAGTTGTTGGATGAGTCTGGGGGCCCCAGGTAAGATAACAGCTCCAGGGGATCCTCTATGTGCTCTGGTAATAACTGAAACAAGGAAAATTATTGCACATTTAATATTTTTATTTCTTAATATTAATTTTTTTCTTAATTAACCACAGAAGAAGAATAAGTGAACTTTTACAGTATAAACTGGCAAAAAGAAAACATTTACAAATCTTGACAGAAATTCACTTAATATTTTAATTAATTTATATTATTTTTTTCTTCTTAATTAACTGCAGAAGAAGAAGAAGAATAAGTGAAATTTTATAATATAAAATGGCAAAAAGAAAATGTTTACAAAATCTTGACAGAAATTCAACTCACGTCTAAACTCTCCTGTCCTTTCCCCTCTCCATCAATGATTTCTGATGGATCAAAAGGCAGATCTGAGTTACTGATTGGGTTGGTTGAGTCATTATTACTACTGTTTCCATTGTTTGGATGGAGCTGATTGGAGTGTAGCGATCCTGCCGCCATAGCTGGGTGCATTCCTCCTCCGCCGCTAGTGTCGTTACTCGTGCTCTGCGGGCTCGTCATGGCCGGGTGGTGGATGGGAGTGTGGGGTTGCAAGGGCGTGTGCGGCGTGCGTGGCTGAGGACTGCCAAAGTTCATTTGATTATTGGGTGTCATGGCGTGATGATTCAACTGTTTGTCTATCGACACCATGTCCCCATTGTCACTCAAGTGTGAGAGAGGTCCTGCGAACTCCGTCCCATTGTTGCCTGGTAGACTGTCTCCCCCTGGTGGACTGTTGTAACTACCGCTGTATGGAGGGAGAGAGGCACCTGAAATAAGTTTGTTTAATTATTTTATAATTATTGAAATATGTCAAATTTTTATACAAAAGGATGTAAAATTAATAAATTATGAAAATTATTTACACTTAATCTCTATGAATTTAAGTAATTTTGTTGCAAACAAATCACCAAAATTGCAAACACATCTCCAAGATAAGCAATCTTTGTCCACAGCGGAGACCTACCTTGGGACATGATCATAGAGGAATTATACGGTGATGGCTGAGGGCCCAGGTCATAGGCATTCATATTGGGCATTTGCATACTGGAGGGAGACATGGCCTTCACCCAGCGGCCATTACAGGGTTCTGGAAGATAGGTAATTGATTAAATAAATAACATAAAAACTAAATAAATAAAGAAGCATTTCATGCACAATTAAGTTCATTAAGTAAGGAAATCAGGATTGGACAACTGATGTCTTCCTGTCCATCCATTCATCTATCTGGGATCTAGACTCAGATAAAAATATTACACAAATTTCCCTTAAAATGGCATTTTCTTCAGACAAGTAAAGAGAGAAGACTGTTCTGAAGTTGACTCCTTTCTGCAGGATCACTGACCAAGGCAGAAAAGCACCTCATGACTCATTCTTAATTTCTTACTTATTGTCATTTAAGTTATGGGAGGCATCAACACAAACTTCACTTCCAACAAGAGCGGAATTATCAAAACTGCTCTTACCACTTTCCTCTCCTTTTATCGCTGGCTTGAGAGGGACAGGTTTCCAGCTTGCCGTGGGGTCAATGGTCACTTCTTCAAAGTCGGTATTGGACAAATTGGTCAGGATGCCCCACACATACTGGTCTATCTCAAGACCCTCTAACAGGGCGTTTTTGCTGAAGGGTGACAAAGAATTAACATGATAAAACAGAATTGCCTTTACAGATGAAAAATACAGGGTATTGTATGTTTTACAGATCAATGTAGAAGAATTACAGTGATATTTCCACATTATTTCAATATTTTAAATTCCCGTTTCCTTGATAGAAAACAAACAAGCCATACCCAACACCCTTTCTTGGCATTTTCATGAAATATAATAGCGTAAGCACACCACAAAAGAAGTGTAAAGGTATAAAGGGGATAAAACTGTGGTAAGAAAATTAATAAAATGGCAGATATTAAAATGGTTACGTACTTGCACACAGGACACCTCCAAGCCCCACGCTCACAATTTAACTGGAGGTAGGATTCTAAGTCGAAACACTGAATGTGCTTGCAGTCGTGACCACGTGCAGGCAAGGTGATGCGTCGGAAGGTGATGGGACATTTGAGTGAGACTTTGATGGCCGTCTGCTCCACCCCGTCCTCCGTGCTGCCGCTCAGCGGGGCATTGTTAGCTGCCACACTGTTGAAGTTTCTTTTGACTGAAAGTAGTAGTAACAGGCAGTTTAGAAACAAAGCTGGGGAGGCATGGTTTTGAGGGGGAAAACAAGAGCTTGTTGAGAGAAAGGCATGGAATTAACCACTGGTGGAATTTGGTAAATAAAAAGTTAACTGGGAGATGAAGATGGGTCTCACTTCACATACTGTTTATAAAATCACTGAGCCAATTTTGATGTTTGTTTTAAACAAAATTTATAAATAAGTAGAATAGTAGAATAATGTAAGTTAACATCTTCAGTGTTTCTCTCTCTCTCTCTCTCTGTACTTACTTTTTGTTATGCAATGTTCAGCTGGTAGCAACCGTTTCCGTAGTAACCCGTGTAACACTGACCTCACACTGGGCCTGTGGACAAGCTGTAGTACAAAGAGATGTGACTGGAAATAGAAACAAATCACAAAGTTTACTGGCACAGTTCAAGTACAGATCATATACAAATCAGAATCAATTCAACATCAACAGAGAAAGAATAAATAATAGAGCAAAAACAAGGTAACAGTGGCAAAGGACAGGCTATAGTGCCAAGGGTAATGTCCATATCTGGGGTAGCGCTAAAACTCGCCCATTTAGCCAAATGCTAAAACTGACTGAAATTGGCTAAACAAAAAGGGCTTGATTTGACAGGTTTTAGTCAAATTATAATCATCTGGACAAAAAAAAAAACGCAATGAATAAGAAGTAATTTGGCTAAACGAGATTATAGAAATTATTGTTCTACTTAAGGTAAAAAAGGAGAAAAAATTGCCAGCACCAGCCCAGCATATTGTCATTAATCTCAACTTACACAACAACACGCGGTGACGGTGATTTGTATGGTGTTCCTGCCTGGTAAACAGACATCCTTGAGGTACAGAGGTTTGTGGGAGGTCTTGTTCTCTCCTCTCTCGATGTTCAGAGGGTTAGCGTTGACACTGACAGTCACCGAGGCTGGCCAGTTGGTGTTCATCTGCCTGTCTTCATGGTGGAAACATTTCAGCTGGAGCTCCAAGTCCGACCTACAGGAACAAGATTTAAATAGAAATTATTGTTCTACTTAAGGTAAAAACCTATGTTTTACTTCTCTGAAATGGTTTATAGATCATATTAATATAAATATTCACTGCTTCTCTGACACTGCACTCATTCTATTACTACTTCTGCTATATGGAGTTTGTTAAGGTAGTCAATGACAGTGGGTCCCCCCACCCTCCACCAAGAACAAGTACTTCAACTTACCCACTCATGGGGAAGGGCACGTTTTTTTTTTCATAAATTCTCTTAGTTCCATCTCTCTACACCTATCGTGAAAGGAACCTTCCTATTCTAGGGTAAATTTCACCATGGAAAAATACCTCATCTCTTACAAGTGTATTATTTTAGCTATTAATAGCTTACTTGTATTAGAAACACATGGAGGCACGCCCACATGTACACTAGGAATAGCTTACCTCCACATGAGTGTCTGATAAACTGACTCCCGTAAATGGAATTCATGATTGCTGACAGCAAGATTGTGCTCTAGGCGAAATGGCGGTAAGACCACACCATCTCGGACGGGAAATGTGAGGCGTAGTTCATGGTCTGTGTTTTCTGGAATCAAGAAATTTTATTGCCTTTATCAAAGATAAAAACCTCTCCTTTTTTTCTTTCAGAAACAGGACAGGGATAACGATAGCGATTTGTTTACAAAATTTTCGTATACTTTCACTTGGTATTTTACAGCTACCAAATTCTTTCATAATACACAAAATTATTCATTAATGAACATTACTGTTCTGCAATTTTGCTAAACTAATATACTTTCTAAACAAAGTTACAGAGACTTCATTTAAATATCACAACTTAAGCTCAAACTTGACATAAAAGATGACTGGGTACCAATAATTTCTTTGACTATAGATCTTTTTCCTACGATAACAATTCACGTTGTCCTCACCTTTCTTAGCTATTGGTGGTTTGATGTCTGCCATGTTGGGTTTAATGTCGGCCCCAGGGGACATATAGGGCGGCATGTTGGTCCCCGGGGTCATAGGGGGTGTAGGGTTGCCAGGAATGGGAGAGTGTTGGTAGTTCATGTTGTTCTGGAATAGAACAGTAAAACATTAACACCAGGTGTCTTATTTATCACCCTACCTAACATTCACCATATCAGATATCTGTGCAATAATATTCAGCTAGGGGGATAACCAGTTTATTAGTCGATAGAAAATAGCAAAATGCAGACAAAGACAAAACTAAAACTTCACATTTGCAAATTTTTGTAGATACTAAACCAAATAGCATATGTAAATCAGTCCCACAATCAATAACATTTTATTTTCAATCGTTAACATGGCTAACAAACTACTGCTTACCTGGTATGGTGGTTGACTGTTAAAGTTGGGCATTCCAGCCCCTTGGGGGCGGGGCACGTAGTGCTGGCCCCCTTGGTGCATGGGGTTATACCCCCCAGGCTGACCCCCACCATTGCCATAGGGTGGGGCCTGGGGTCTCATCCCCTGAGGTGTCTGGACATACCCTGGGGATGGAAGGGGCTGTGGTTGGGGTTGTGATGGGGGGTATCCCCCTGGCTTGGGACCAAACGGTTGACTGGGACCATAGGGTTGAGGACTGTAGGGAGGCTGTGAATATAATAATAATAATAATAATAATAATAATAATAATAATAATAATAATAATAATAACAACATTCTGGGTACAGTTTACGATATATTTCACAGTTCTGCTATATTCCACGAAGATAAATGCCAATAATTACCTTAACAATCTGATTAATCTTCCAAATTGTAATATTACTGCTCAAATAACTTGGTTTATCACACCAAATGAAAACAATGTCAGGTGTACCAAACCAAACCAAAGTGAAGAAAATCACACCTTTCCAAGAACTTATATATTGTGCACACACTACTTGTATGTAATATTTTTGACATGTTCACAAAAAATCATAGTAAAAATTCAACAGACTTTTATTCTTACCTGTTGGCCATTGTTGAAAGGCGGCCGCTGCTGTTTCTGTTGGTGGTAATACTGCGGGTTGGGATATGGTGCGGGGCGGCGCTGGGAGTACATCCCAGGGACCCCAGGTTTTGTGGGCATCCCTGAGGGACCCATGCCCTGGCCCATGCCTAGAGACCCTGGGGGACGGGTGGGCATCGCACTCCCATACTGATTATTATACTGTTGGCCCTGTGAAAAGACGGAACTAGTCTCTTAGCTTGATATCACAGGGCATTTCAAATACAGTCACAGCAAATTGTTCATGTAATGTGTATCTAGATTGTCTTGTCTTATTGACAAAGTTATGTATAAGCTATGTTGATTTTGAATGAAGGAAAAGAAAACATTAAAATCAAAATGCATTACTTGTCAATATTACATTTTAATATTCACAATGATATAACACAATGTTTACTAAATAATATGAAAACTGAAATGATTTTTCCCCAAACTGAAACATGAATTTCCTGAAATCAGTATAGTAATTCCAGTAATAATCCCTGAAATAGATGGAACAGTATTTGGATTTTATCAATGATACTTACTCAAATACAGGCATACACACTTTCAGGTATGCCAAAACACCTTTTTCACCTCAAGATTCTTCAAAAAAACTTTTGAAAATTCCACATAGAATACATGTTTAAACAAATAAGTTTTGATTTTTGTCCTATTTGTATTATTAGTTAGGTCTTTTTTTGTAAGAAAAAAAGAGAGCTTAATGAGTGTGACCGACTCTCCCAGGTGGAAAACTGGGTTTTGAACTATTCCATTTTCCTCTCAGGGATATACCAAAATGGCAACAGGTAGGCAGAAAATACTGGGGTGACTTGTGACACAAGCAACAAATTGATTGGGGATGACCACAAAAAGTGAGTGGAGGAAATATTCCAGTCGTATTCTGGCCAGACAGGGCTTGGCTGCTCATCCAATCAAATCCTAGCAGTCAATGAAGTCTGGGCGATGGGAGCTTACAGTTAGTATGTCCACTATTTTTGGCTGTCATCATAACTGAACTTTTCACCTGTGGCAAAAAATTCTGCCGAAGCTTAGAGACCATATCAACCTCTGACTGCAGAGTGATTCAGTAATTTTATAATCATCCGTGTCTTTTGAGCCTAAAATTTGTTCCCTTTCATAAATAACTCAAGTTACTTTTTTTAAGCAACTTCGATGGTCCATTTCAGTTTTCAGTCAATCTAAAAGCACTGTTCTGTCCACAAGTAATTTGGCATTTGATGTGTTCCTGCAAATCTGAAACCACCACAGCACCACCACAATTCACAGACAACAAGGATTCATAAAGATAGATTCACAGCTAGCCCTCATGAAAATGGAGTACATTTCCAATTTCTCTTTCCTGCAGTACCAGTAGTAGTAGTAGAACTGATCAATGTCATCCACCTACCTGAGGACCATACTGACTATTGGGATTGTTCATGTTCATATTCATGTTCATGTTCATATTCATGTTCATCTGCTGGGGATTCAGTTGCTGCTGCTGTTCCTGAAGGACCGCCATACTGGCAGTGGCTGTTGCTGTTGCTGTTGCCGTGGCAGCAGCAGCAACCAGAGCGGCGGCAGACAGAGCACCTGGCGGTGGTTGGAATTCACTTGCCTGCTGGTTATTGGTCTGGCCGGGAGTGCTGGGCGTGGGAGGGTAGCCATTGCTGGAGAGAGAACGGCAAAAGAGGCGTGAAATTTTCAGTTAAAGCTGTGAATTGTCTGTGTTAATCATTTTCTTTCCATAAACAGAACTTGTCTTCAATTAGCAGGTACTCAATGGAAAGTAGAACAATATTTCAGATGCTTTACATGCACAAAGTTGCTGAATACTGCAGGCACTAACTGGTGCTATTACCACCTATGTAAGCAAGCTTCCTGTCTATCACGTCAACTTCCAGGAAGTCGTGAAACTGTAACCAATCCTATGGGTTCACACATTTCCATTTTCTTTTTACATATGTTGAGATTGGAAATGCCAATCCTTCACAACATTTTGTAGCTACATCTTGTTTATACTAAGAGGGGGTTTCGATATCAAAATTATATCATAAATTATAAATAAATTAAAATATTCATAACTATAAGAAGTATTACAACCAAATCATAAGATAAGAAAGTCTAAATCAGTTTTGTATTCTTAGCCTACCCTTAAAGCTCAAATACTTTTGTGAACTAGGCACACAATACTGGAGTAACTAGAGCAAAAATGCCCCCCCCCCCAATCTCCCCCACTATACTCACCCTGCCTGGTTGTACCCCACAGAATCCTGTCTCCTGTACCCCATGTTAGGGGGTGGTGGGCCCGGGTGGTTGTTATATGTGGGTTTCTGCATATGTGGTGGCGGTCCCTGCTGGCCCATGTAACCCTGCTGGGAGTAGGTAGTGCCCGTCATGGCGGCACTCGTGTAGCCCTGGGGGGCTTGGTGTGAGAGAGGGGCGCTGGGGGTGGTTTGGGAGACCCCCCAGACTGTTGTGACGACGGAGAGAGATTGTGGTGTTGGTCCACCTGGGGCCTGCTGCCACGAGAGGGCGTCACTGAGAATAACAGGTAACATATGGTCAATATATGAATTCTTCTCTCTCACTCTCTCTCTCTACACACACACACACACACACACACACACACACACAGTCACATACATACATACACATATACACACACACACACACACACAAGCCCAAGAAGAAGAAAAATTGAAAAATTTCCAATATTACCTTCTGAAACAGCTTATCCAAATACCCAAAATGCAGGAACCAATTTTCCAGCTATCACTTGAGCTGTTGTGAAATACTTTTATGCACAACTTTTTTCAATAACTTAATCTTTGTTACACAATTCTGACACTAATGAATAAATTCAGTGGATACTTCACATCTCCTGACATAAAAAGAAAAGCGCAAAAAAAAGTCTCATCTCTCGACATAAAAAGAAAAGTGCAAAGAAAAGTCAAGTCCAACTTCTAACAGATAAAATCCTTGTTTCTCTCTCTCTTTCTCTTTTAAGCTCACAAAAGTTCACTGGCCGCTGCCTAGTGTTTTGAGATTCTCCGGTATCTAATCTGACAAATTTTTTCAAGGTAAACTGATATACTACATGATTTTTACTTGTAGACAATTAGTCACTGAGTGCTGGTCAAACAACTTCCTGTATCATCTATCTATTGATGGGGAGAGGAATTCCTGACTCACAGATTAATGGTTTATTTCCCAGTACAAGAAGGTTAAAGATAAACTAGGTGAGAATTAAGCCAGTTTTGGACGTTTAGTTTTATCTAACCAAAATGTGCCATGCACTGCCATTAACTGTGAAAACCAAGATTGAAATACAATATAATGAGGCTTGTACAGGTGAGAGAGGGGCAATCAATTCCAGGACAGTCCTATGTAACCTTCACCTCCCTACACTACAATATCCAGGCTACACCAAGACCTCAGATGAAAGCAAAATGGGGACAAATCCTGACTTTTCTCTAATGGGAAATTTGCGGTTGGAGTCTTGTGTGTTTAATCACCAAGTCCTAATCCACAATAAACTGTTAGAATATGACCCCACTCGAACCCAACGACCTTCCCTATCAGTGGTTGTCATCAAATGGTGTTCTGGAGTTATATATGGGGATGTCCAATATACATAGGAAGACCGCATCTCAACAAGTGGTTAAGCACAAGGCCATCAATCTAGTTTAGACAGGACAGAACAACAGTGGACAGGTTGTTGGTCAGTTGTTGTGTACAGTACAAATTGGTCGACTTATGTAAGATGTTTAGAAGAGATGGTTAGTTCATCTAATTCTATACTCTTGAATATGTCGTTAAAGTGTTAAGCTGAGACGGAAGTAAATCTTTTCAACATATGATCAGATTTTGTTGATAAAAAACTGAAACTATGAAGAGATAACATTTCTATTCATGTAACTTGGGGGGCTTTGATCAGACAACAACAACAGGGGTTACAACCTGTATCCATATTAACAGACCATTTACAGAGGTCATTTCCCTCTAATACTTTGTTCTTTCAAGGCCATTCTCACTTTTCACAAAGGGAAAAATTATAGTTAAATACTTGTTCCTTTGAATAAACTACATCCAGGGCCCACACGTATCCCCCCCCCCCCCCGGTTATTCATGACCTCCTCTTTCAGTTGTGTTCTTATCTGATGGAGACCACGTATCCCTCATCCAATCACCATACAAGTATTTCCTTTAACTTTTCCACTGAAGACAACACAGGGATAACACCGTGAAAATGAAAGAACTTCATGTCACTTTTACATAATTCATAACCAAAACCAACTTTCACAAACACACGCATGCATGACTGCACGCACACTCACAAGTAGACACATACAAACACACACACAAGTAAATACATACAAACATGCACTTGCCAGTTTACATACTAATACACAAATAGTCAACCCTATATATATATATATATATGACAGTTCTACAGGTATGTGTATCAACTGTTGGCTTAAGAGGCAGAACTACAAAGCACAATTCCAATGAAGCCAGCATTATTTTACAGTCAGCCATTTGCTGCCGTCTTTTTTATATTCTATATATATATCACTCATGTAAAAGTCCAAATTTATTCTCTATATTAAACCAGACAGTGTTTTAGAGGGGAAAAAAACATCAGCAAATTTTCTAGATAAGATCGAGTATGTACCTTTTCCCCAAAGGAGGTAAGTTATTCTGTGGCATCATATTTGGCGTCTTTGGACTATCTGTTGGTCGATTCTTTTGATGTCGTAGCAGTAGTAATCTTCCCAAGTCTTCACACCATACTGCTAGCATAGCTGAAATAATGGAAAATTAACACTGTAATTGGGTTGCCATTTATGTCACATAGCAATACATTTGGAATTGTCTGCCAATACAAAATGATACCATTTGGCCTGCAATGGGAAAAAGTAACATTTCCAGTTTGTTTCATCAGGAAAAAATTTAAGTGAAGTGGTTATAACTTACACATAGCTCAGGTATAAGCATCTCCGAGAATAAACCTACTCAAATAATCAATCATATAATCACATGGCTGCTATCATAATGGAGCAGCAGGTCAAAATATAGGCTACCAGATTACTCTAGCAGAATTGTCTCCAAGGCAAATATGATTCGATATCCCGCAGAAAAAAAAGGCAAGCATATCCTTGATTACTTGACTACTTAGCTTACATCATCAATTTTCTATGACAATTTCTGTTTATGTTTTGAGTTAACATGCCAACCTACCATAATACTGGTTTGCTAAGCTTAGTTGAACATGAAATACAATGTTATTCTATATGATACATCTAAACAAGCATAACCTTACCTACAACCTGTATAGTTTAAACTGAAATACATGACAAGTGTCAAGAACAAGGAACACAACCTGGGCGTAATGTATTAAGCACCATAGTACTACCATACACAAAGGAATCTCCTAGCCAACAAACCTCCGCCTCTTCCTCCCACACAACCAAACACTCAGCCAAAATATGAGTAAAACAATTGAGGTAATTTGACCATATGTTTTACTGAGTTTAGTCTCACAACCACTTGTTTACTCACACTGCACCAAACAGTGACATTGTTTGTCAGGGTAAGAAGGCACGTTGAGGTCACTCTCTCCCAAATATCCATCCTGTGTGAATGGACAGCCGGGTCACAAACTGTTGACAGTAAAAGGAATAACAGAGATAATTCTGACCCTATATTGGCCTAATGGTCATTAGATATATGTCAAGTACTGGAATGACTTGCATTATTGAAAGGTGATCAAATACTATACTGGCTTGTTCCTTACTATTACTACTACCACACAGATGATATGTCCTAAATACGTTCATTATCCACATAGGTATCATAGTTCTATTGGAATACATCTGGAATACCTTAATTATGTGTATATTGATAAGTCAGCCTGTGGTATGCAGAGGATTTATATCTACTCCTATACTGGTCATGTAAATATCAGTAAATCCAAATGCAAACCTTTATTCTTTATAGTAATGTTACTCACCTTTTTTGTCTACAAAAAAGTCAATACTGTGACCAAAAACAATTTCATCAAAGGGAAAAATGTCCACTGGTGGGGAGGGGCAACAGGTAAAAAATAAACAAGTTTGCCTTCTTGCTTCTTTACAGTCTACCTGTACACCGTCACAACCTACAGGTGAACTAAGTCTCTGTCATGTCACGTTTGTGTCCAGTAAAACACCTGAGAGTTCAGGAAGTCAACAGACTTAAAGATACATTCGCGCAAAAAGTCCACTTACAGATCTGATTTGTCATTGTTACTTTCATTAACCTGTTCTGTAGTCTGAACAAACTGCTTTAAGAGGCCCATACTTTCCCTTCCTAATCCATTTATCATTAGACGGACAAAGGAATTCCTCACTTCAAAGCTTTCACCATACCTAAGTCATACCCAAAGGAACCCACGTTTTGGTGTCAGAAAAAATTCCGTTTCTCTAAAATCACTGGAAAAATGAGGAAATAGAAAGTGCAGCAGGGTCAAAAGGCGAGTCACTTCAGTTCTTCTCAGCTATTAAGTAAAAATAAATAATGTTCACGCCTTTGTCACTTCCTACTACCGCAAAATTTGTATAGGAGGAAAAAGGGGAAGTAAATAAAAAACTCCCCATTTTCACCTCACTTCACACACTAACGTATTCATGCTTATTCTGTGGCAAGTCAACAACAACAATAATAATAATAATAATACCTAAATAACTTCCCTACAGACTGTACTAAGATCCATTAATTCCACTCCTACCTGGAAAATAGGGAAATGTACCTGGGTAATAAAATATTCCACTACATCTAGATACCTGTAGGCTGTATATAGTACTCAACACCCACACACTGGCAGAGGAGAGCACTTGTTTATAGCTTGAGGAAGAATGCATAATTAGATGTTACAGTGTCTTCCCCCTCCCCTCCCCCAAATCAAAAAAAAGTGTTAACGCCATCTTTTTTTTTCGCGTGTGTGTGTGTGTGTGTGTGTGTGTGTGTGTGTGTGTGTGTGTGTGTGCATGCATGCGCATACATGTGAAGGTTTTCAATAATGAAATCATGATGACAATGTCTAAACTGATAAACATTTTAATGCTGAAAGGATTTGCTCTGTGAGACCAGCATATCTGCTTATATATTAAATCACATAAGACTGTATTTGAATACTTTCCTTCGGGTATGGGGAGTCAATGACCTGCCTTTTACAAAACTGGTTATATCTAAATTTATCCTACGTCTGGCACTTCCAAGAAACAAATGCACGCTTGATTGTATTTTAATACACTTCAATGCATTCAACCCCTCCTTAGTCAAGTGCACTTACTGTATTTTTTCTGAAGCGCCTATATCTCGACTAATTACACTCCTGTATGTATATAGTAAAGTACTCGTAACATTTTCAAACTCCCCTTGAGTATTTATAGGAACAATGACCTATTCAGGGATGAGACCAGTCCTCACTGAAAAAGTAAGAAAATTAGCCGGGGGTCCAGGGAACACGATTCACAAGAATGACCCTGAAAAAGTCGGAATTCCGACAAAATCGGAAAAGTCTCATCAGTGGTTGTTGTTCATCTTACAAAAAGTGAACTACGGAAAAAAATCTGTGGACAACTAGACACAGTAATAACATGTTTGTCAATAAGGTGGAGAGGTACCACACTTGTTCAACTCTATCCAGTTGTTTATTCTAAACCCACTCAAGTATAACAAACAAAAAAAAATGGGGTATTTAGTGCAAATATCTGGTTGTGTGCACATAGAACCATAAAATTCTTTACTGAGCTACAACCATGTCCCAATTTTTGCTCCTAAAAATCCACAGCCTTATCTCAGTTTATCTATACCAATTTTGTCATCATCAGATATAAACATTTTCCAAATTTCTTTGCACTCAAAATGAAAAAGTGGTGATGTGGTTTGCTTCAAGATGAACTAATGATTTTTCCAGCTTTATCTCACGAAACTATGATTTATCTTCATCCCATTAGCCTAAAAGACAATCATAAGTATGCACTGGATATAATAAACATGGATACTAGATACTGTACATGCCTCTTTACTAAATCATGAAGCCAGGTAGGAAATATGACATACCCAAGACCTTTCTCCCATGTTAACCACATATCTCAGTTATATATTTACAGTATTACATATGACATACCCCAGACCTTTCTCCCATGTTAACCATATATCTCAGTTATATATTTACTGTATTACATATGACATACCCCAGACCTTTCCCCCATGTTAACCATATATCTCAGTTATATATTTACTGTATTACCCCACTACATTCACCTCCACATGCACTAGTTTCATATTCGTTACACAAGGGTCAACAAACTCTCATTCTCACTATAACTCTCCCCTCCCTCCCCCATCTATCTGCCAGCTTTCAAATACAGGGCTTCAGCAAATAGTGTGTACATTCCTCAGTTAACAACTAAAGCCACACCTGAAGCTGTCTAGACACACTAAAACAATATCTGCCCTGTCCTCTCTCTCTCTGTCTATACTCCACATAGCTAGATCTGCTTTCAGCTCCTAAACAAAGAGAGCAGTGCTATTGCCTGTTACTATTACTACTGAGCAAACAAACCCCAGCATTGCCAAGGGGGAGAAAGCTGTGGTCCCAATGCTATTCTAAATACTCCACAAACTCAGACATATTGACCCAGAGAGGGTCACTCCAAACCCCCGTATCAATAGATATCTACATACCAGCTGGGCCTTCACTACTCCAGTCATCCACTTGTGATGTGATTTGAGATAAAAATTTCAACTCTGGACTTGGAAATGAGCGTGTGGGCTAACAGACCCACACATGTATCTGTGTATGTATAGATATACTGGTCTATGAATATGTGTGTGTGTCTACTCTCTCTCACACACACAGTCCTGTTACATTGCAGTGGCAGAGAATGGTACAGCTATTGTCCACTTCCCTCTTGATTACAGGCCTTGAAAACTACCATAACATGGTCACCATCCAGTCCCTGGCTATTATTAAGTCCACAACAAGTTTGCACTGGACATTTAACTTCCTATAATCCCCGGTAGTGGAAGATTGTGATAGCCTTAACTCCTTCAGCAAATAACTTCTCCTTGTGGTCTAAATCTCACAGGGAGTTAAGCTAGAACAGCAGCCTGGTGACTGTGGTATAATACAGTAGATGAGAGTTCATTCTATTCTCAATATACTTCTTACAAGTGCACAAGCGGTGTACCACTTATCAAACACCATCTATTTTGAGTGCTCTGCCTGTCAACCAATCAGATGCCTCGCTACAATGACATCAGCAAAATCCCTGACGCATGTAACAAGTCAAGGTAGCCTATACAGCCCAGAGTAGACCAATAAATTATCCGCTGATCTGCTGTGTTATTTAGGTCAGCCAGTAGCTGTGAGAGAGAAGGGAAAAGAACCCCACTCTTTATTGATTAATTGAGCGGAGTAGGAAATGACATCAAACAATTCCTACATGAGCATTCACATGTAACCAACCCGCACACAGAGGAGATTTATTTACTTTTTCTTACGAGGAAACGGACTGTAAAGTTCATTTAATTAAAAGGAGGGGGGCCCCTTTGTCGAGTAAGGTCATGAGGATTATACCAAAAAAAGAATATATCTGTATAAAATATCAATATCATCAGAATATTGATATGATCTAACACTTGTTAACTGTAATAAAATTGATCAGACAATCAAAAATTCTCCCACGCGAAGATACAAAACCAGGTTTCAAATAGCTGAGACAATAGGTTCATCAGCCCACTAAATTCAGATTCA